TAGCAATGAACGAAGGAGCGGAGGAGGAATGCTTTGCAACTCGAGAAAGTGTAAAAAAATGCAAGCTTTACAAATGTTTCTCCACTCTCCCTATTTATAAACAAATCTCTATGCGCGGAAAAAGTGTGACACCGCTTGGGGTAGCGTGTCGCCATTTCGAATCATGATTACCCCTATGCATAGGCCCTAATTATGATGCATTTAATAGCTGTAATGTGTGGCTCGAGGGAACAAATCATTTTTCTCTTCAAGTTCCACCGAACTTCCAAATTCCGAGACATCGGGCAGGCCTTGACGGACATAAATGACAAAATTTCGCGTTTCCTCATGAGCACGACCTTGGAAGAAAACTTGAAGCAAAGTTATGGGCAGCATGATAACCCGCAAGAAAAGTCAAATGCTCAACGCGAGCACAAGCTAAACTGTCGACCGCGATCCCAACATAGCACATCGTCTTTGTTAGTGAGATCTAACAAGTTACAAGAAAAATACCGTCCTCGTGTTCACAAACTCACGAACAAAGACGTTTATGGCGAGCGAAATCTTCGACAATGCAAGCTCCCCATCACGAACCTGAACGAAAACTCACTTTGCGTAAAGTTGATTGCTCCTCCTCAATGCACTAACTTACTCAGTCATTACTCCTCTGCCTAGGAGCAACGACTTAGGGGGATCCTGTTATGGACTGGGCCTGTAGCTGGCCCACCATTAAACACAGCCCAATCCAACTCTATGTCGGGGACGGCTTAAAGAGCTCGCCCAATCTGTTGGAGCCAGTGGAGAGCACATTCCCCGCGTGCTCCTCTCTTGAGGACATATCATCAACCTAATACATACGTGTGACTAGTAAGATAGCCTTGCCCTTTGCAATGATCCAGTTCGTCCATTTCCCGGGGATTTTGGAACGGTTGACCCAGGACAATGAGCACATGCTAATCATCTCAATTTTCACATAGGAATCTTGGCAGTCATCCATTATGGGCCTAGATTCTTATATCATAACATAGACCATTGGCAAAATGCAAGGGGGCTCACTATAAATATCCTCCTACGTAGGAGGGTCAGGTATTCAATTCTTTACCCTTTCTTACTCACCTTTCACCTGAACTGACTTAAGCATCAGAGTGTCTGTAGGTAGAGGTGGTAAAACGGGTCTGGCCTGTTGGGCATGCCCGTTTTGCTCGCACTTTAGTGCGAGGAAGACCAAGGTTTTAGGCCCTCACCCTCTAATGTGTCCGCCCCTCCCCGCCCCATTTTCTACGCGAGCTTTTGCGGGCATGTGAATTTACATAAATGTTTTAATTTTTAGGCTTAAAACATGCAATACCCACGGCCTTTTCCCGCCCTGCCTTTACATTTTTGCGGGGTGGTGTTAGGTTTTAGGCCCGCATCCTCAACTATAATCGCCCATCCTGCACCATTTTTTACGGGCTTTTGTGGGGAGGGCCTAAACGGGCAGGCATGCCCGTTTGCCACCCCTATATACATGTACATCCCCCTCCTCTGTTGATCGTTCAAGCCTACAAACGTATTGTTGACCACTCACACTTTCTGATCACATGTACTTAACTAAGTGTTTATATCAAAAGTGATTATCATAATTTTTATAAATACTTATAATTTCTTATAAATACTTATAAGTTCTTATAAATATACTTATGTATAAGTTATTTGCAACATAAGATCTTTATATAACTTTACTATCTTTATGATTTCTTCACCCAAGCATTCGAGTCCAAGAATTTGCTTTGGCAAAGAGTTTGCATACAAACAGAAGAAGATGTTTTTTGTAATTCTATTAAGTAACCACAACTTCAAACTAGCAGATCAAATTGATGGAGGCCAATATTGGAAATAATTTATATTTTAGGAATGTCTTGTTGACTAAGTCTGTTAGAGGGTATTTTAGTATTTTATTATATCCTAATATTGTGTATAAATAGCCTAGTAGTGGGTAGGTCAATGTATTCATTACTCATTATTTTGTATCCATCATTTAATATATTCCTTTTGTCTTTCATCACTCCTTTGCGTACCAACAATTGGTATCTAGAGCTTCGGTTCGAAATCCACGGGAAACACGGGAGATACGTGTGAACAGTGTGGTGTTGTGTCATTGAGAATCACATTTTTTCTGATTCTGTGAGATTTGGGAAAAACTGTGTTAGTGAGTTTTGAGTGAAATGCACAAGGTTGAAGATGAAAGGAAATGGTCATATGAGTTCCAAGCTTCCAGTGTTTGATGGCAAAAACTGGAACTATGGAAGATCCAGATGCGTATGTTGTTCGGTTCTCAATATGTGTTAGATCTTGTCACCCAATGGTTATGCTTCATCAGCAGCAGACGGGACGGAGGCACAAAAGACAACACATAAGGCGATAAGGAAGAAACATCATAAAGCAATGTTCTACATCCATCAGTGTGTGAATGTGAACGTGTTTCAGAAGATTGCTAAGTCTGAAACAACAAAGGTTATGTGGGACACACTGGTCAGATGTTACAGTGGAGACGCATCAATGAAGAAGGTGAAGCTTTAGTCCCTAAGAAAGCAATATTAGAATCTCAACATGAAGGATAATGAGAAGGTTTCTAAGTACATATCTAGAGTAATTCTGATCACTAATGAGATGAAAGCTTATGGAAAAACCCTTTCTGAACAAGTAATCATAGAGAAGGTATTGAGATCTTTAAATTCTCAGTTTGATTACATTGTGGTAGCAATTCAACATTCTAAAGATCTAAGCATCGTGAGAGTTAAAGAAATGCAAAGTAGTCTAGAGTTGAATGAGTTGCGTATGACTGAGAGAACTTATGAGAGGTACGTAGAGCATCAGGCTCTGAAAGCAACTTCTAGTAAGAAGTATCAGAAGCAGACTTGGTCAGAAGCCAGAAAGAAAACTAATGGTGGTCAGAGGTCAGAAGCTTCAACCTCTGATAGGCAGAAGAATGTTCAGAAAGGAAAGGAGAAGTATGACAAGAAGAATGTTCAATGTTACTGTTGCAAGAACTTCGGTCACTATGCCAAAGATTATTGGTCAAACAAAGACGAAGCAAAAATAGCCAGAGGAGATTCAGATGATGAACCTGTGCTATTGATGGCTTATGAATCTGATGAGGAACCTGTTCAGATTGTCTTTTTTTATTCTGAAGAGGAAGAAGATGACTCTGAATATTCTGATTCTGAAGGAGTGATTTTATATGAGTCAAAATCAGAAGATGACTCTGAATATTCTGAAGATGAGTAAGAATCTGAGGTTTCTGAAGAAGAGTCAGAGTCAGAAGATGACTCTGAAGCTGAAGACAAGTCAGAGTCTGAAGGTGGTTCTGAGTCTGAAGAAGAATCAGAAGATGATTCAGAATCTGAAGAATATTCTGCTTCTGAAGATGAGTCAGAACTTGAAATTTCTAAAGAAGAGCTAGAGTCAGAAGATGAAGAATCTTTTGGAGACTCTAAATATGAGTCAGATGGTGAATCTGATTTTGATCCAGATTTTAAATTCGATGGTGGTCATGCTTCTAGAAGGGAAAACTCTGAATACGTAGGTTATGGATGACAAGCTTCTGAAGATGATCATGTTTCTAGTAGAAATTATGTCTCTGAAGGTGGACCTTTTGAAGGAGGAGCTTCTAAAGGGAATTCATCCTTTAACGGTGATCATGATTCTGAAAATGGAACTTCTGAAGGCAGAGCTTCTGAAGGTGATCCAACTTTTGAAGATGATATTTTTGAAGGTAGTAGTTCTGAACGAGGTCCAGAAGCTAACATAGGTGGAACATCTGATGGTAGTTAAGCTTCTGAAGAAAGTCCAAAAGGAGATATTATTCTAGAATCAGAAGGAGATTATGAACAAGTTCAGAGGCCACATAGGATCGGAAATATACCAAGGAGATTTGCAGAATTTTACAAGCTGCAAGATATTGAAGGGACTCTGAGGTATGGAGTGTTATTCCCTTTTAGTGTTAGATCAGATACAGAGCTGATATGCTATCCAGACTCTAATTAGTATGAAGACAAAGTTGACAGAAGAAGTACTTCTGGGTACTTATTCAAATTTTTTGGAGGTCTTATTTCTTGGTGTTCCAAGAAGTAACCCGTTGTTGCGCTGTCAACCTGTGAAGCTGAATATATTGCAGGCGCTTTGACTGTATGCCAAGCTTTGTGGATTATGAACTTGATGCATGATCTGAAGATCGAGGTAAGCAAGTGTTGTACCCCAAAATTTTCCCTCCCATTTCACTTAAGACATTCCCATTGAAATCCCCAACCTGCCTTAAGATGACCAAGAATTGACCAGACAAATCCTCCTCCTAAGACAATAAGCCTCAAACTATGGTTTAACTCCTCATCAAGATGGTTGAGTTCCAAGGGTTCCAAATGGTATCCATTTTCCTAATATGTCCTCAAGATCACCCATGTCATGTTTCATGCCTTACACAACAATATTAAATAATAAAAAAAAAAAAAGAATGGGTCGGGTTGATTCAGGGGGTAAGGCCCAATTCGAATTGTTTGTGTGAGAAAACCCTATATTTTACAAGTGGAACGACTTCACTATCTTTGGAAAAGGTCCAATATTAATTTCAAAAATAAATTTTAATGTTAATTAACAGGTATTAAATCAAATAAACTTAGACAAAAGTTATTTCTCCAATGCCATTGCTTCTTATTCTCTCACGATACATTATCATTCCTTCCATGGTTCGCCACCAATGTTCTTCTTCTCATCTTCTCTGCTTAATTCTTCGCTCAATTCTCCGCCTTATATCTCCGCCTCTCAATCGCTCCTTCTGATTCATTAACTCTCTCGATCTCACTTTTGCGAATCATCCCCTTCCTATCGAATACTATCTCTATCTTCGTTCGGTAATTCAACAACAACGACATCTCGATTTCTATTTCTCTCGGTGCTAACCAAAGAACGACAACAAAATACTGAAGATTGGAACTAAAGAAAATCTAGCTACAGATCGGAAGTGACCAAGCAATTGTTCATGCCATATGATGCACATAAGTGAGAAATCTGAAGCCTACCTATTAGAGTTCGTCCGATACGACTTTGATGATTGTGCCGATGAGAGAAAACCGAAGAGCACTCCTAGACTCAGGTAAATGATCTTTTTATAATCTCGTGCTCGAGTTATCTTTCTTCTTATGCACCTTATATTCTCTGTGAGTTTAGTGATGTTGCGTCCGTTGTCGAATAGGATTAATGAGAGGAAACCGTTAATGAGTAGCGTTGTTGTTGATTCTGATCTGATTTATGTTTGCAGGTTTTATGAAGAATTGTGAATAATTTTTCTCTTACTGACTTATGAAGTGTAAGTTTCTTTGTGCTTGTTACGTCAATGTTGTTGTCGGTGTTGTAATTGTATATTGCAGACCTGTTGTGAGATTGATGCAGATTTGTGATGCTATGAAACTGTTGTTTCAAGTTGCTGTAGAGTCTTTAGGAAATCGGTTTGTGCAGGTTCTGGATGAAGCTTAGAGGGGATATTGGTGCAGGTCTTTAATAAAGTGGAAGTGAAATTTTGCAGGTTTGATTGATGAAGAATTGTTGTGTTGCTACAGGTTTATGCAGGTCTGTTGCAATTATTCAGAGGTGGTGGTTTGAGATCAATGTCTTGGCTTTGGAAGAAGATCTATTTTTATTTTGTGTTTGAGGGTTTTAACAGAATGAAATAGAGTTTTTTCTTATCATATTGTTGGTCAATTTTTTTTTTGATTTTCTTCCTTTTTCTCTGCCTCTTGTTGTCTACCCCTTTTTCTATGTGTGAATACTCATTTTTATAGTGAATCAAGACTATGTTTTTAGGGGGAGATGGGATAACATTTGAACAATTTGAGTGCACTGTTTTACTACTTTTTATTGCAATTTTTGTTTTGGTTATTTGTATATAACATTTGGACTGATTTGGGGACTGGTTTTTCTATGTATATGGCAGCAACAACAAGGTTGTTTTTGTGCAGGTTTTGCGTAGTTTTTTGGACTGGTTATGGGCAGGGGCAGCAACAGGTCTTGGACTGTTTGTGTAGCAGGACAGAAGCCGGTTCAATTTTGGCCATGTGCAGGTCAAGGTTTGAAATGGACATGGCATGTGATTCAAGGCTTAGTCATGAGATGAAGAAAGATGAAAATTAGGTGAATGTGAAATTAGACTTAGGATTAGGAATAGGAGAATTAAGATCTTTGGTTCAAATGTAATACTTGAAATCATTTGTAATTTTTTTTCTATCATTTGAAAGTAAAATCAAGACTTTTAAATATTGAGTGAGACTTGAATCTTGAATGAATCATGGAACATTTCCTTCTAATGAATTTTCCCTTTTGAGAAGAATGCAATAAACTTTGAATGCATCATTTGAATCTTCAATCCTCTTTGATTAATGCTTTTGAAACCTCTTTAAATTTCTTTGTAATTTTCTTTGTAGCTTTCCTTTGTAAAAATGGAAGACACATTGAATAATACAAAAAAATTCCTTTATGAATCCCTAAGCCTTTTAATTCCATGTTATCTTCTCGAATGACTTCAATTATTATGACTTGTAATTGAACTTTACTTAATCCTTCCATGTTAAAATCCATGGCCATGACCTTTCTCATTTCCCATCATTAAATTCATGGCATTAAATCACTTTACCAAACATGCTCGTCTCTTGAGAAATCTTAGTTGACGCTTGAATCACAAATCCCTAATACCTTGTACTTGAAGCAAACTTTTTAATGAACTTTTACAAACTCTATTTGAAACCAATTTTTTTGAATGAAATTCAAAAGTAAATTCTTGTAATTCAAGCAACTAAAAGCAAGCTCCTTTGATTAACCCTAAGAAAATTCAATAAAACCCTAGTGTGGACCCGAGGAGAATTTGCTTGATCAATTATTGAGCCATCTTAAGCATTTGAGAATCCTAGGAGGATGTCTTAGAGAAAATGGAAGGGAAAATTTTGGGATACAATAGGTGGTACATTAAGAATTAACACGCAATTTTTACCAACCGATGTGTAATAAATATCAAGTAGCTCACTAAGTTTTTTTGGTGATTCTGATTCATGTCAAAACCATCTTGGACGAATTGAAACATCACATTTTGGTGGTAGCCAATCAATTCCTCTTGGATCTGCTGTGTTCAGATACCTACATTTTAAGAAATAATCCACTAATTATTAACTCTAATGTATAATACAAAAAATCATAGGTATGGCAAGTGGAGTGAATCACATCGGTTGGTTTGAAATCAAATAATTTAAATATCAACATTAGTTTCACACAATTAAACGATAATATATTGACCATTGATAACAGATGTATCTGATATGTATATATATTGACCGAATACATCAATTTGTTGAATGATTATAATAAAATCAGCAACTTTTTTAGTATTCTTTTACCCAAAAAAGAAAGAGAAAAAACATCACTTACTACATTATGTATGGACTTCCAATTGTAAGAGAACTTCAATTAATGATAGACCAACACGTGTCCCCGACAAACCCTGCTTCATTTCCTACCCATCTAACATCAGATCATGCATCTGAGAAAATATTGATAGAACTTTGCAACTCCTTCACCATTGAAAACCAATTGGAAAAGTAATTCGACACATTTTGTGCCTTTGGATCTTTGAATCCATCAAACCAAATTTCCCTTACATTTGGATATTTAAAAAATATACAATATAATGTTAATTTCCAAAATGTCACTACAAATGGATATGCATGATATACAATAAAACTTACGTGCAGAACTAAAATCAGCTCATTTTGAAAATGAGCCGACAGCAGTACTGCATGCAGATTTAATTGCATACGATCAGAACATGCATTTAATGTATCAAATCAAATAAAGAAATTGAAATTTACAATATACAAAGAGAGATTCGAAACTCACTTCTTAAGAAGTTCTTGCAATTGGCCTAAATAATATTCATTGTAAAGCAAATCATGACCATATCTAGAATCATGTCTATCCCAAGGTGAAAGATAGATCCCAACATCAATTCCTTTATGAGTAGCTGCATTCACAAACTCTTGAACAACATCACCTTTACCATTTTTCCAATAGCTACTAATGAAAAAATGTTTGGTGTACTTAGAAGGCCATAGAAAAAATCCATTATGATTTTTCGCAGTTAATATCATCAAGGAAATTTCTGCTTCTTCTGCCACATTATCCCATTGGGTTATGTTGAGCGTAATCGGATTGAATATCGATGGATTTTCATGGCCTGTACCTCGTTCTTTGCCACTGAATGTGTTAACACCGAAATGAAGGAAAAGTATGATTTCTCTTTGTTTCCATTTTGGCTGTGAGTATGTTGGGAGTGGAAGAATTGGTAATGGTGGAGTTACTACTTGTTCTAGTAAAGAACTGCATGGATTGTTTAGTTGGAGTAATAGTGTGATAAATAAGAAAAAAGAACAACATGATTTAGCCATGATGATTTTTAATCAAGATTGTTCTTTTTTGGTTTGTTGAAAAATGTTGTGAATGGAACTAATACAAAAGCACAAACATAAATGTATATATAAATATAGGTACTGAAAGAATCATATTAAATAAATGGAAGCATCTTATGAATACAAACAATAAAGAACAAAGTATGAAGATTAAGGACACATAATGACAATCAGTTAAAGCATCTTTAGAGAAAATGAGAGTTTAAGAAGCATCAAGATCTCGAACCTTATAAAATTGTATAAAATGTACTAATCAAAGAGCAGACACAAGCACATTGCGCATCAGATAAGAACTCATGAGTTCTACATAAAATTGTGAGATACATATAAATTTTATTTAGGGTTAATTATATGCCCCCTTCCATTTGGGCGAGATTTGGTTTTACTCCCCTGAAGTATTTTTTTATGATCCACCCCTTATAAATCAAATAAACCATTTTCACCATACTCTTTTACTTGGTTTGTTGACTGTGTGTATTATAATTTGCTACGTGGCACTTGGAATTGGGTGATTGTGTATATGGGGTTTTTATTCTTCACCACCCCTTTCGTTCCATTCATCACCTTCATCAATATAGGGTTTTTATTCCCTTTCCACTCCAATCTTCTATCTTCGTTTTTCCTTCCCTTCCGTCTCAATCCTCTGCTTCGTAATCCTGCATCGTTCTTCTTCGTCCCTCAATTGGAAGCATTGTTGGAAGTAGTTTTCTTGGAAGCAATGTTAATTTAGTTTCGTTTCCTAGATTACCCAGATGTGGTTGTGATATAGCAATGAAGATGTGGGTGTCCAACACAGTTCAAAACCGCAATCGAAAATTTTGGAAATATCGCAATGCTGGGGGTAAGTTTGTTTGTTGATTAATTGGAAAAAATTGATAGCAAGTTTTGATTTTTATTAATGTTAACAGAAGTTTTAATTTTAGTAGACTGAGAATAGATGTGAATTATTCTCATGGGATGATGAAATTGGAGACTCCATCAAAGGAAATAGTGTTATTCAACCATTTTCTAAGAAGTGTGAGGTACTAGAAGTGAAATTGGAAACAGTAACAAAGAATTGGAGAAATTGAAGATGAAGCTTGAAGCTCAGAGAAGTACTAATATGCAGTTCAAGATAACATTTGTTATGTGTTGTTTGATTATTGGTCTATTGTATAATTTCATATAATTTTTAGTTGGTTCAATAGTTGTATTTTTCTGGTTATCAGTATAATGTATTTTGGATAATCTTGATATTAATGGAAAGAATTATGTTTCTGTCAAACATCTTTAATATTTTTGGAACATCTTGATATTATGTTTCTACATAAAAAGTGCACTCACTTCTTTCTGAAAAGTGCACTCACCTGTTAAGACATTACAAAAGAACCAAACTTAAGACATTACATAATAACACCAAACTTGTACATAAGTCAAACAGTACAAAAGGAGCATCAAACTTGTGCATAAGTCAAATAGTACAAAAGGAGCACCAAACTTGTGCATATCAGAAACATTACTTAGATGTCATATCAGAAAACATTACAAAAAGAGCACCAAACTTGTGCATATAAGAAGCAACATGATAAATCATAAATTGATTTCTTCTTTGAAGGCTTCTTAGGAGAACTCCTTGGAACCTTCTTAGAGGAAATCTTTGCAGCCTTCTTAGGTGTACCCTTTGTTGATTTTTTAGTAGCACTCTTTGTAGCTTTGTTTGCAGTTTGTGATACATTTACTTCTTCTTCTTTAGTCAATATAGGTTTGTCTGCAACCATTTATGAATCCTTTTTTACATCCATCAAAATAGAAATAGAAAGATCCAAATCTTGGTTGGATGGTAGGTGATGGTCTCTCAATGTTGATCTTCACAATATTTCTAGCATTTACCATATGCAATTCAGCTGCATATCTCCACAGACTTGCATATTGCTTGTCTGCATCTCCTTCTATGATTTTTCTTTCAATGAATTTAGCTTTTCATGCCCTTGCCACAGTTATACTCACTGAATAGTTTTTCCTCATATCTTGAATAATATCACAAATCCTTACTTTGTCAGAAGATTGCATTTTCTTGACCACAGCCTTGACCACCCACCTTGAATTTGCATATCTATTATCCAAAATCCTAGCACATGTGTGGGTGTCCTTTATAGTCTTAATGACATAAGTGTGCTTGTGGCCCACATGATAACGAAGTATTAAAAACCCACATATTTTTACATTCATCTGTCACCCTATACCCCTCATTTTTCACAAATGTTATTTCCCTCCCATTTAAAACTGTCCACTCTCGAATAGTCTCCCTAAAGTCATCTAGTGAATTGAACTCCATACACCACTTAAACTTAAAATTATTATTAAGTTTCTCTTTCTTAAACCTCTCAAACTTAGGCCCTTTTTCATCTTCTGAATTATCAGGATCAGAGCTATTAAGCTCTTCACTAACACACTCCTCCTCGTCATCATATTTCTTCTTACTTGAACAAGTTAACAACCCTGATATGGATGGACCCTCATTAAGTGGTACAGTGACATCAATATCATCAAATTCATCAACAATAACATTCGTCCTTTCATCCTCACTATCATTCAACCCTTCAACAATCTCTTCATCACTAACCTCTAACTCGGGAACAAACTTGGGACTGCTTTCACTTCCACTTCCACCTGCATCATGTTCCATAAATATTTCCCCATCAACTTTCATTGCACAAGCATAAGCAGCAAAATCATACGCATCCTCATCCTTCTTAATTTGGAAAAAATTAGGGTCTATGTCAGTGATTTTCGTCCACAATCTGTACGACCCTTCTAAGTAACCTCACCCATTTACTATGCTTCGAATGTGAGGCATAATCCACTTATCTATGTGTTTCTCAGAAATCAAAGTATAAACACCATCCCTGTAAATCGTTTTACCATCACTAAGATGTACGAACTCTCCTTCATGGTGAAAAACAGCGTCAAACAATACTTTATTCTGAAATAATATACTGAATATCAGGAAAAAAAAAAACTACAATGCATATTGTAATCAAGTTGCAGAGACCGTATTTGGAACTTACTTGAGACGATTCGCCTGGAGATTCACCGTTCACAGTCATTGTTTCGTCTTCTTCGATCACTTGGTCTTCTCCCATCGCACGTTCACAATTCTAAACTCTAATTATTTACGGGGGGTGATAACGAAAGATTTATATTGTGGTTCCACTTTCATTTTAATTTCAACTAAGAATACACAGTTACCCAATTCCAAGTGCCACGTAGCAAATTATAATACACACAGTCCGCAAACCAAGTAAAATGGTGTAGTGAAAATAATTTATTTGATTTATAAAGAGCGGATCATAAAAAAATTACTTCAGGAGACAAAACGAAATCTTATCCAAATGGCCGGGGGCGTATAATTAACCATTTTATTTAATATGAAAGATTATAAGAATAGAAATGTTAGAGTGATTGTTATCAACATTCTTCTAAAATTTAATGTTCATTAAGTGTTATCAAACAAATAAGCTATGAGAAGAACTACACTTGTAAACCATGTCTCCACCAAGTGTGTGCATTCCTTTGTTTACTCCTCTTTCTTGATTGATATGTCAAATGATACCGTAAGATTAGACCACTTACGAACGCTGTTAGGTTTCCTTAAACATGATTTCAACTTGTTGTTAACTTGTTCATTAGCCACAAACTCCAACTTAACATCTTTCTTAGCCATTTCCAAATCTATACCCCTTTTGTACTGATTTTGATAATATTGTACAGCTAATTGGTAAGGTGTAAACTCCGAAGTCGATTCATCCAATGATAAATCAAGTTCCATTGATCTCTTCTTAATATCTTCACAACTATTCATCTTAGTCCATAGTTTATCCTTTCCTTCCCAATCATCATATTTAAATTTGCAATTATCAACATGATAGTTAGGAGAATATCGGTTTAATTGTGAAAAACGGGCCGAGACACGTGTCATATTAAGATTCGCATTATCAATCTCAACTGATACTGAATCTTGACCTATATCATCTCCGAAACAAGTAGGTTGAACCCCACTGGTTGAGGCACGTGTTATATTAGAATTCACATTATCAATCTCAATCGATCTTGAATCTTGACCCATATCATCTCTAAAACAAATGGGTTGAGCCCAACTAGTCGAGACACGTGTCATATTAGAATTCACATTATCAATCTCGACGTCAACTGAATCTTGACCTATATCATTTCTCAAGCAAGTGGGTTGGATCCAACTGGTTGAGATTGAGCTCATGCTAGGCTTCGCATGATCAACTCCGAACCAATTGGGTCTAACCCCATGTTGTTGTTGAAAAGAGAGTGAATCATTATTGTTTTGCTCTTTGGCTTTTAGCAAGTTATAGATTGTGTGATTTGGAACGATAAGGAACACATAACCAGGAACCAAAATTGACTCAGGTTTGACCACAATCCAAGGATACTTAAAAACATCTGGCCTAGTAATTGAGTGTCTTGGATTCCTTCTCATAACCTCTAATGCTATAATTGGTTCTCTATGAATCTCGATGAATCTACCAGGGTGCACCAATTTTAACACTCCTCTCTCTTTTTTCATACTTTTCATTCTCTAGCTATGTGAAAAAAATATAGAAGATTATTTTTTTGAAGGTAATTATTAGGTTGCTTAGTCTTTGCCTTTTATTGGTAAAATATATTACTTCATGACAAAAAAATAGGTTAAAGAAATTCCTAGTGAAATCAGAAACGGTCTTTGGAGAAGAAAATTCTTGTTCTATGAATTTTTGTTTTATTGGATGACAACAAAATTTTGTATAAAATGGAAACTGTTAGTTTGTTTCTTCTTTTCATCTTTGATATATTTAGCTGAAAAAAATCGTTTGATAAATGAGTTATGCAACCTATGTTCATGTATCCAAAGCAAATTTCAACAGGATACTGTGTATAATCGTCATCTCTAATTTAGTGAAGCTAAAACTTATTATATCTATTGGGGATGAAATTAAATGTTAATAATGACACCATTGAAGTCAATAAGACTATGAAAGATCAAATTGGTGATTATATCATGAAGCAACTTAATGTAAGTGAATATTTTAAATCATAAGATACAATATATACAATTGAGATACTATCTCATTCAAGCAAAAATAAATAAACAGTGAAATGTATTTGGTATGAGATTTAAATTAAATAAATTTTAGTTTATTTATTTATTTTTGTTTATTATTTATTTTTGTTTATATCTTAGTTCAGATGATATATATATATATATATATATATATATATATATATATTCGCTTCGTACATAGGAAGACTACGGAGTTCGGTTCATGAGATCACGGCGGAGTGGAGCAGCTGCACACGAAGTTCTTTATCTTAGCTGGATCTTCCTGGTGACACCTAAACGGTAAGTAGGCGACGAATGTGTGACGTTTGGAGTTTTTCGTTCGTGCACCTGTCCTCAATGGAAGAATGAGTGATTTATTCCTTTGCGGATCATGGCCTTACCACTCGATCCCCGATGGCCTGCGAAGGATTCGGTGTAGGAGCTTACATTTTTTTGCACTACGCATTTCCGCTGAACACATGTTAGTTGTAGGAAGTATGGTTCCGAAAGTGACTTCGGTTCGCTAGTTCAGGCTCAACTCCTCACTTTACGTTAGAGGACTTACGCTACAGGTCGGGGGTCTGCGCTCTTTCTTTTTGTTTGGGACGATGTCGGGGAGAGAAGGGAATGCGTCGAGGCGGAGAATAACACAACTAGATTTTTGCTTTTCCCTCCATCCATGACAGTGCATTGGACCGATGGATAAGAGAATTGAGTTGGTTCTTGGACACTCTACGTATGATGTAGACTCCACCAGATACATATCGCTTTATTTCTGATGGATCAATAATAGTTAGTTTTCTTATAAATAGATAGAAATAGGGGATTTCCCCTTATTATTGATCGATTCCCTTTATCTCATTCCTACTCTTTCGATCTATCAAGACGGATCAGGTTATCTATCAATATATTTTTAAATAGCGTGTCCATCTCGCTTTTCGTTAATTTCCAGAACACCAACATAACCACAATAAATAAGAAGCAAGCGAAGCAGCTAGAAGTGCTCGCTTCAAGCCCTTTAATTATTATTCAAGAATGAAATAGGAAAGCCAACACAAAGATTAGATTTTGATTTCATAGAGTAAGTTTTGTTGTTGCTTGCGCGTAGGGTGTCCCCCACCCTGTCCCGGGGCGCTAAGGGGCTTTTGTTTTTGGAACAGACGTCAGTGTTTTGTTGACGCCTTGAATCAAGCTTTTGTTGCGACATGCTATATTTTCTCCCCCGTTGCCAATAGGTTGATGGGTTGCATGCCCGACATACATATTTTGGCCTTATCTTTTGTGTCCATAACTAAAAATAGGTGAACTAACGGTTTCCGCCGGACTAAACATAACAATAGTCACCAAATTCATATGGGCTATAGAGGAGTAAGCAATTATCTTTTTAAGATAGATTTGTCTTGAAGTGGTCAAGGAAGTATATATTATAGCAACCGCTCTTGGAGTATAAAAGAAAGGAGTAGAACAAAGTGTTGCTTCGAGAAACATGGGTATTGAAAATCTTAAAAACCCATGGGCTCCCAATTTTGAAGGAATTCTTGCAAAGATGACGAATCCTGTCGTAGGTGCCTCTACATGAGATTCAGGTAACCAAATATGAGTTGGTGCCATATGCACTTTTACGACAAAAGCGGAGGAAGAAGGAATCCATAGAAGATTTAACGCTGCTCACTAAATTTTATAGTTAATGATGTTTGTAAACCGGTGGTCCCTATTTGTAAAAGAATCAACAGAATAACTAATAACATAAGAACTGATCCAAGTAATGTATAAAGGAAAAAATGATTTGCTACCTTGATCTTTCTTTGTCTCGAGCCCCATACCCCTATAATAATGGTAGAGTAAGGGGTGGCCCCAAAGCGGAATTTACCGGTGGTGGTTGGTCAAAGCTCCAGTTGGAAGCCACTCCTTTATCAAGGAGTCATATGGGAGACTTTCACATCATACGACTCAGTCTTGAGATCTCACCGTTGGCCCTTGTCATTAGACCACTATCTGAGCATGTATATTAAGCTTTGAATCTCGAATATTTTTCTTCTCGGGTGGTGGCGAACAATGCATCTTGCGTTGCGGAAGATGCCTTCCCATAGGGCCTAACCTTCTTTTCTCTTGAAAGAACTGCTCACTTGCTAGCCGAACTAGTGAGGGGACCTATCCAGAGACATACTGAAAACCATGCCTTTCGAACCGAACACAACGCCTGTCTTCCAAAAGAAAAAAAGGAAGAAAGATAGTGTGCGATCTGTAGAGCACATGCAATACACAATCAATTTCTCTCATAGTGGATCTCTCTAGATATCTAGAGAGAGATAACTTATAACCTTCATTTTATAGCCATCCCCAACTTACGACTTTACGCTACTAGTACTGTGATGTGAGCGGTTCCAATTTTTTTCTCAATTCTCCTGGCCGGAACTTGTATGTAACACTTATACAAAGGTGCTTGCATATAGGTTTGGAACTCTTTTCTTATCTGAATCTTTAAGACGTGACCCTACCCTATTATCAAACCCTATACCGAGCTTTAACCCTTCCCGCATTTCCCATTTTTATGGGGGCCAAAGAAATTTCTCCACCTACTGCCAACAATCTTTCTTTGGAATTCTACTGAACGGGTCAATCCTTCCTTCCCGTTTGTTTTAGCGACTTGTCCTAAGGTCTCTTCACTGGGAGTTCCCCGACAACAACAAAGGAACCAACCTGCCTGCTGTGGCAGGTGGCATTTTTTTAGAATAAGACCTGGACTATTATCCCTACCTTCGGTAGCTTACGATTTTACATCCATCCTTGGTTAGGTACAATTTCCTTTCGATTTTTCCCTTGTAGTTGTTACCCGAATTCACGCAAGTGTGTCCATACCCCCAAACTGACTTGAGGAGGAATCCATTCTCACAAACAAACACAACCCCTACACACACCTATGAGCACCCCTTTCTGCATATCTATACAAGATCCGAGTAGGTGGGTCGAGGTCCTGTGAGGTGCCCACTACTTAGAGTACCCTCCCAAAAAGGAAAAAGATGTGTCTGTCAGGTTCGACTCGTCTTAGTTTGGTTGGGCGGGTTCGACTAGAAATGCTATGCTTACGGACAAGACTACCCCTTTTCCCGAAATCTTCGTGGGGACTACTTTACGAAGGACGACCACTCGTAGGGGTTTACTTCATAAGGCCATGTAGAGTAAAATCTTTATCACAACAGATATAATATTCTTAGCTCCACATAACATAGGCATTAACATGCTTTCGGGAAGAACATAGATTAGTAGAGGATCCAACATGCGGAACACGACGATCATTAGAAAATCACGAATTAGAGATGTTGTAATATACTCTTTCCCATAACTTCTCATACCAGACCAACCCACTAAAATAAAAATAGGGATCATAAATATGGTCAATATCATGAAGAAAAAAGGGAGATTGTCTATACCCAAATTAAAATAGATGTTTTCATAAGGAATCCATTCAAGGCTTTCCACAAATTGAGATTTGGATGTAGAAGAAACGAGTTGTATACGAGGAATAGAGGAATACAAAAAGGTAATAAGAGAGGCACACATACCAATCAATCATATTAGTTGTATTCTTGAATTTGGAACAAAAAGAGGAATAATGCTTCCTAGCACAGGACATAAGATATGACCACTTAGATTAGAATAAAATTCACATAAATGTTCTAACATAGAATAGAATTGAACATTGAAGAGATTAGTTAACAATAGTCAAAATATGGGCTCCTAATTCTAATATAATAGGGGTTTATCAGTGAAAGTCAGCTAAACACCATGATTGATGATTGGGTAGGTGGGTTAGGTGTGCCTCTCGTCCAATGGGAAGTATTTAGGCGAGTCTCCTTCTCCCTTCCTCTTTTTTACTTTTCCTCTCTCCTTTTGCTTGTGATTCTACCCGGGCTTTTCATTTTGATAGATTTGTAGAGACTCGAGGATATTTTATAAGATTCATTGCTCGATTTTGCATGCTCTGCTCCCAAAATGCAGAGAGACTTTCGATGGCTGATCTGGGTTATTCCGGGGAGAGGCGGGCTAAGTGAAAGAAAAAAAAAGAATATGAATATAAATGGAGCCATGTCTACATACGTACGTCTCGTTGACCGAAAGATCAAGTATACCACACCACTTATCATCTCCTCTTTCAATAGAGGAGAGATAAAGAAAAATAAAAGAGACAGTGATCATGTTATAAGACCTTGGTCGTTTCTACTTGACGTTATTTTCCTCGGTATTTTATTTGACATTAACACCTTTAGTTTTAGTAGGTTTTGGCTAGGTTGCTACGCTCATGCCATGTCTTGCCAAAGTAGGTTAATGGTCAAGCATCCTCTTGTCGCAATGATGTGGGGCGTTAGAGGTTGTTTCCCCATCGCCAACTCGAATGGGATGAAGTTCGACATAAAGCTTTTTGGTTGTTAATTTATAGCAGCACTGAGCAACATCCAATAACTCCAGTTCTTCTAGTTGGTTTGCTTGCACTAAAG